ATCCCCGCCCCGATCCCCGCCCCGGGTTTCTCGGCGGGAAGACGGCGTCCCGTTATCCGTTCTTCCTCCTCCTCCTACTGCTGCGGAAGTGCCCGGCTGGGAAGTTTGCGGCCGGCGGCGGGGGGAGGCCGAGAGGGCTCTGTGGAGGTGGGTGAAGGGGAGCGGGCTGAGGGGCATCGCCCCCTGTCCCTGCTCCGTGCTGGTGGGCAAAGTACACCGAGGGATATTGTACCTTCTGGCAGCAAATTTTCAACAAACTTTCGTTTTCCCATCCCTCAAGGTACGATGCCGCCCAAAGGTCCCGCCAGAGGCAAGCTGCCAGTCCCGCTCCCTAAAGACATGATCCTGAAAGACACCGAAGGGAAAACCTGGAGGCTGGGCAGTCAGATCGGCCAGGGAGGATTTGGTCTGATCTATTTAGGTAAAATACTGCTGATAATTAAGAGGGTGACTTGCAAATTTCTTTGCAACTTCCTTAACAGGAAAAGGCAGTAACTTTAAAAAGTCTGTTTTCCATGCTGTTGGTGATCCTTGTTCGAGTGTGGTTTTCTGAGCTGTGGTTCCTGTCCCTTCCCGCTCATGATGCAGCGTGTTCTCCATGGCCTGTCCAGCTCATTTTGCTGGATGCTAATGTGCTTTTCTGTGGCTCCTGAGTGGGGCAGCCAAGGTGCCACTGTGTCAAACACCACCAACGAGCACTACCAGGTGATGCTTTTCAAAGTAAAAGTGCTTTTCTTAGCCAGGGTTTTGGCCTTATGCCAGCCTCGTGCTCTGTAGCCCTCTTTCGGTTTCTGGTTATTGGAAGTGTTATTTTCTGGCCAAGAGTAAATTAGTTTTCATCCAGGAAATGAAACAGTAACAATACTTAGCTGGGTGCTGCCTCTGAATTCCCATATTTTCAGCAGAGGTGGAAATGGTGTTCTGCATTTGCTGTGGCCTAGATAAGTTTCTGTGTTTCCTTCAGAAGAAGCCATTGCATTTCAGTCAGTTTGTGCTCTGTGAAGAGTGAATAGTTCTGAAAGGCAGCTTGTAAAGCATTCTGGGTCACTGCAGAGGGTGTAATGTATGTTACTGTTGCTGGTCTCTGCGAAAGAGCAAATTCTGTGTTCAAGGCAGTATTATGAGCTTGGGTGGTTTGGTTTTTCTTTTTTTCTTGGCAGCATATAGAAACTATATGTCTGTTTGGAACTAAGTTGAGCTCGTATGGAGCAGAGAAGAATCACCTAGAAGCAGTTTAGTGCCTTGTCCCTGAAGCCTAACATGATCTTTTTAAGTTACAGTGATATTAATTCTATTTGGAATATAGGCATCAACTCCATAGGAATAAGGCATAAAAATTAATTAATAATTAGTTAATAAATTAATTGCTTAGTTAAATTAGTTCATTAATAACTAAGTACATAGTTTAGCTT